GGTTTCAGTTCTGGCACTCATAGACATGAAGAATCAGCATGTGAATCTCAGCAATGGTGACAAAATATTCTGATCATTTTTACGTGATTTTTGAACGTCACAAAACAAGGCAGTAAAAAGTCAACAAAAAACAACAAAAATAAAAGCAAATACTAAATGCAGCTGTATAATTTATTCATGTTGCAATGCATGCTGGGAGCCATGGATAAGTTATGATTGGTGCACCCAGAATGCACTGCAACATGAATCTGTCTGATGATCATCACCATTGCTGAGATTCATATGCTGATTCTTGATGTCTGTGTGTCTGAACAGAACAGATGTTCTAAACTGCTGTGTGAAGTGTTTTTAAAGCTCTTCATATTATTTCATTAAAACACTGTTGATATCAGTAACAAACTATTTCACTCATTACCACTGATGACGTCAGTGAACCTGCTACAACATGACAACTACACCATTATTAAAAAGACTGTCAATATGATCTAAACCCATTTTCTCTTGATTTTTTTTACCATAACCAATGTGTTTCATAAACACGTTTACAGCAACCAGAGAAAAACTAATGTTAAAAAGTCAAGTGTCAAGAGCACAACTAAAGCAAATGCTTCTCTCCACAACGGTGAGTTCAAATCGTATTATTTTCAATAAACATTAACATCTATTTTTTTACCAATTATCCAAATAATGTTTAATCCTAGAAAGCTATTATCATCAGAGGACACATGAGCATAACGGTTAGCAGATCAATGAATGAGAGGGCAGCGTTACCAGATTTGCCCATTTACCACACCTTGTTACAGCACAGTAGGGCTATTGCAGACAGAAACAATACTGTACTACGTTTCCTGTCAGCTTGATTTTTGAGTGGACTTTGCTGTTCCGATGAGCATGAACGGTATATGAGTGGAGCACTCACATGGACCGTGAGCGACTGAGCGGAGCACACGCGCATAGAGCGGGATAATATGCAGAGCGTCACACCACGTGAAAGTGAATCCTAAGCGGTGAACTAATTTTCGGCAGCCAGTGCCGAATTTCAGTGCATCTCTTATTATTGGCGACATCAGAAATGGATATTATATAATAGCTGCTTTTATGAACATTTATAGCAATTTAAAAATATTACAAAATTATTTTTTACACGGCACACCTGCTCTCGACAGACGGCACCCCGGTTGGGAAACACTGGTCTATACACAGTAGCCAGAGCAGAAGATACGATAGATTTCTTTTGCATATTTGATAGTGTAACATTAAGCATTAGTATTTCGAATGAGTTAAACCTGTATCCTGTCTTCTGAGTAACATTGAGAATATCACTATATATTGTTGCAACACCGCCGCCATTTGCGCTCAGCGCAAGGACAGCGCAAGTACTTCTATCATTTAAGCAGGTAGAACAAAAGTCATCAGGGCAGTTATTTGAGATTTGACTTACTAGTCATATGGTCCGTAGCGTCCTGGAGATGTTGTCCGACAGGAGTTCCGCTCCGACTCTGCTGGGGTGCAGGCCATCAGCGCAAAAAGCCCAGTGTTAAATTAACTCTCCCAGGAGTTTATTTGAGTCCACACTCAAAAGTGTTAAAATTAACACTGAAGAACGTCAAATTAACACTGAAGTAGTGTTAAAGTTAATGAGACAATTAGGTGATTAATTAAGTGATGATTGACCATTACTGAAGACACCTGATGTTAACAAGCAGAATCGCCAAAAGAGGAAATCTAAATGTTTAAGTCACCATTATAGTGGTCAGTGTTTGCATTAGTTGGGCTCTTGACTCTTAAAATGTTAACATTAAATTTTGTTTGGTTACGGTAACTGAGTTATAACAGCCAGATGAACTAAAGGAAAAGTGGTCATGTGGCATTGATTATTAATTGACATAGGCCTGGGTGATAAAATGGTATCGATATTTATCGACGGTACTTTCTTTGATAACGATATAAAAAAAATTTGATGTAGTGCATGATAAAAAAAAAGAATATTAGTTGAATTTAAAATAAACATTTGCATTTGAATGCAAAATTAGCACAATCAAATGTTAAGAGTGCGTCAGGGAGCGTCATCAGTGGAGCACGAGATGCGGTGGTGACGCAAGTGACGTTGTTGCATTTTAATGTTTTGTTAGTCTAGCCCACATTATTTTGCTCATTGCACCCTCCTGTGGCTTCAGGAGACAAGACAAAGATTCCTTAAAACATATTTAATCTGCATATAAAACATTAGACATGTTTAATTTTTATTGTGTGTTTGACTGTTAAAACAAAACTATTTGTTGTTTGTCTCAATAAATTGGGTTAATTTGAAAATAACAGTGGTTAAATAAAAAAATATATATTGCTCTGTTTTAAAAAAATGTTATAAAAAATGTCAATAATTATCGATACCGACGGATCAGCTCTAGGCATGACGAAGCGGATATCGTCCTCTTTTGGAAGACCAAACAAAGTAGTTTCGCTTTCACAACAAAACACACAGCTCTTCACGACATGGCGGCGGCAACAATACTACAGTGAGAAAAAAAGTCAGGCCTTCTTTCTTTGCGTGAACATTTGGGTGGCGTTATGCAAATCTTCCCACACAGTGACGTAGACATGTGGGGGCGTGTTAGAACGAGCCGTTTTAGGTAGGTGTGGTTAACTCTTAACTTTTATAAAGAATATATTTTTGGATTTGAGATTTTGTATTTTCAACTTTACAGGTCTTCTGTATGCACCAAAAGTTTGTAACACTACAAAGAGAAAGAAAAAATTTAATTCACATCATATGACTCCTTTAATAAAAAATAAAAGAAAAAGTCTTTCATTTAGACACAGACATCAAGAATCAGCATGAGAATCACAACAATGGTGACCATCAAAAAAAGCATGTTGTAGCCAATCAAAACTCATTCATGGCTCCCATCATGCATTGTGGCATGAATAATTTATGAGCTGAATTGTCTTTGTAATTTATTTTATTCTTACTATTTTCTTTTATTTTTGCTGTTTTTATGTGACTGTTTAGTAGCTTGTTTGTGATGTTCAGAGTAGATCTGTTTATATGAATATGCTGTTTGTCACTGTTGTTGAGATTCATACGCTGTTTCTTGATTTCTATGTGTGCCTAAAAGAAAGTTTTTTTGAAGTTTGATCAGAATGGCTTGTAAGCTTCAAACGGCCTTGAAATGGCAGGAAAGTCCACATCAAGCCAACATTAAAGTCTGTCTTGAAAACATTATTTATGAAGGAGAAAGTACCTTACAAAACAAAGATGGCATATGAATTTAAAAAATTGCGCTGTACATAGACCTTAATCCTCAAGAATAGTGACAAAGAGAAAAAAAAAAAGATGAACTCTTAACATGACAGTCAAGAAATAACAACTAACAATACTGACAAAACAACAGCAAAAGTTTAAATTCAGCAAACAACAAAACAATAGTCCTATAACATTAACTGGTAAATGTATTCAAAACTTATAGAGCAGTATTGCATGAAATTAATTGTTCAGACAACTGTGTTTGAAAAGTCTGAGCAACATTTGGATACTACAATCCAAAACTCGTACATAAACATTACATTTTTAAACATAATTTATAGTGAATATGTTATTGTTGTTTAAAAATATATATTATATATATTTTTTTAAAATGTATCAAATTAATAGTATAAGTCAGGGGTGCCCAAACTCGGTCCTGGAGGGCCGGTGTCCTGAAGAGTTTAGCTCCAACCCCAATTAAACACACCTGAACCAGCTAATCAAGCTCTTACTAGACATACTAGAAACTTGAAGGCAGGTGTGTTGAGGCAAGTTGGAGCTAAACTCTGCAGGACACCAGCCCTCCAGGACCGAGTTTGGGCACCCCTGGTATAAGTCAATTGTATTAGTATTTCTAAGTAAAAATAGTGCTGTCAATAATTTATTTTATCAAATTAAGCACAATCTTCTGAAACACAAAAACAACCAAATGCCCCAAATAAACAACTCAAAAACATTATTGTTGCACACAGAAACACTTACACAAAGATGACTCTCACTGGCCTTTAATCCAATTCTATCATGTTCCTTTTGTTCAGTTTGACTGTTTGATAATTATGCTCACGTAGACCATTTTTATCTTACTGATACTGTATCTTAAAATAGTAATGATAATTAATGACTCTTTATAATCTATCCGATCACCAACACACTTAGCAATACAGTAAATAAATTAAATAAATCACGCTGCGGTGGCGTGAGTATTAAAAAGAGTTTAAATGAATGAAAGCCCCATTCCATCTAACATTTACTCACCTGTGTGAAGATGAACTCCATCCATATAGTCTGTGGGCTTATCGTTGATTAATTTGTATTTCATCGATACTAATTTGACTACATTTTTAAGTGTCCTCTCACCTGTTGTACATAAACAGACCTGACGATGCACCAAAAACATACTGAAAGCTGATTGGTCTGCATGTTTTCTTTTGATAATGATTGGTTATATATGCAGAGGGAGGGAAATTTCACTAAGCACCCTTTGTTCCTTTCTCAGCCGCATTTTGAATGGAAGTGAACTACATGCATTATTTGAATATCAATTCAGATTGGTCAGTAATGAGCACAATAGTTCACTATTAGATTGTAGATCATGGATAATGGCACATGAAAGAAAAAAATATATTTTTACATTATATGCACATGCGTTATGCACATTAGTGGACAAATTAATTAAAAACAACTTCATCTGTGTTAATGTTATGTTTATTTAAATAGGCTATATTTTTCAGCAGTCTAGGCCTTAGCGTGTTTAGATTTGATCAGATTGAGAAAAAAAAAAGAGAGAGAGAGAACCCAATTCAGATGATACCAGGCCATTTAAAATTCATGGTTTCACATGATTGTGAATCAAAAACAGATATAAAATGCAATTTATCATCTCAGATTTGTTTTTTGTCCTTTTAATACAGTATATTTGTGCACAGGATTTCCTGTCACATCAGAATGGTGTTGGAAAATCTTGTGAATAGTTATTTTGTTACATGAATTCCCCACTTTGAAGAGAACAAATGGCTCCAGATCAGTCATGTTTTGTCCTTATTCCTCCAGAGACACAAAATGGAAGCCATTAAAAGATTTATGACTGATGCAGCTGAGCAGCATGTTCATTTCTTACATAAAGCTACAGTTTGTTGTAGAAGTTGCTGTAATAAAAGCAAAGCATGCATGCAAAACATTGTGGGACATACTCTACTTGAAAAAGGCGGATACTTTGATACTAGTGTGGGCGAGACTGACAAGTATTTCTGGAAAAACCTTAAGAGAAATTGAAACCCCAAACCGAAGTGAACAAGAAACCGCAGACAAATTTTGGTTCAGTCAGACATGTAAGTATTCTATAGTTTTTTGTTTTTTTACTTTTTGCTTAGAAAGAGCTGAGCTAAATCTTATTAATAGGCCTACTCACATTCTTTTCTCTATGTGTTTTAAACATTCATCCTCTTTAATAATCAAAAGACTGAATGTTGCGATTTCCTTTGATAGGTGCAATTCTTCTGTCAGAGATTTCTTTGCTTGTTTGCGACAAACAGAGAAAAGTTTCTGCATGCAAGAGCATTGTGCTTTGATCATGTTGGCAGAAGCAACCGAACACTAAAAATGGAATTCTGATCAGTGATCGTTTTAATAGGCAGCCGTATGTAACACTGAACTCCATCTGACAAATAATGATATGGTCCCGTCATTCATTTATTGGTATTTCATCGATATGTTGAGCAAATTTGAAAGTTTATCTTTGCCTGTTGTACACATGACATATTAAATAGATACAAAAAGTGGTTTAAGCTTTTTTTTTTTTTTCCCCTGTCAGTCCTTTATATTTGTATATCTTCTGTCACCTCAAAATGGTGTTGCTGTAGTGGACTAATTTCCCCTGTAGCTCAGTCTGATTGGTTAAACTGACTCTTGAAACTTTTCTATTATTAAGCAATGGATTTAACGGATAATAAGAGCACAGCTAGTGACTCCAGACCAATCAAGACTGTTTTGTCCTTTTTCTCCCATGCAGTGGCAGAAAATGGACGCCACTAAAAATCTGATAAGTGAGACACTTGAGCAGCTTTTGAGTGCAGAGTTCAAGAAGTTCGTCTGGCACCTGTGGAACGGTGTGGCAGCAGACATCGAGCCCATTCCTCGAGCGGCTCTGGAGAGCGCTGATCGCCAGGATGTGGTGGATCGCATGGTGCAGAAGTACAGCACTAACGCCGGGACTGTTGCGGTACAAGTGCTGCTCAACATCAACCAGAATGATCTCGCAAAGCGCCTTGATGTGAAACTTCAGAAAGGTAAAGAAAAACACTGTATATGTTATGATTTATGTCTGATGCGGATCAGTGTAAATTTCTCATACAGTATAACAAACATCCTCTCTTTTCTCTCTCCTTCTTCAAGTGAGTTCTAGTTGATGAGGAAGAGTTCAGCAGCAACAATCGCATCTACCGTAACACAGCCACAAAAATAAAATCAAAGAAACCTAATATGCTGCTGCCTGATGAGATGTTACAATTTTTTGATTGTTCAATATGGGTGACATTTTATTGCTTGAGTAGTTGCATTTTATTGTTTGAATTGTTTGGCGTTGGATGTTGAAATTAAACACTAAACTATAATGGAAAAGGATGATTAATGATTACTTAAAGTATTTCATTTCGCTTGTTATGCTGGCAGTGACCAGGGATTTTGGGGATTGATAAATATGGAATATATTTGGAGTGTGTATGTTTGAGATTTTATTGCTGCTCTTTTGTGAGCAATATTACGGGTTACACTTTTTTTAAGATTTTATTTTTATCTGTAATGTAGGTATTAATTATCTTTCTGAGCTAATTAGAGTGATTGATGAAAAAAGGGTTTGCTTTTCAGCTAGATATTAAGAAACTTGTGATGTTTATGAAATAATCACATCATGTCTGTATCACTACAGTAAATCACAAAAAGAATATATTTGAACAACAGCAGTGGTCAGAGTCATTCTCTTATCTAATAAATGTGATGTTTCTATTACTGGTCTGCTGCTTTGGGTCTGTATTGGTGGCTGTCGTGTGTAAGTGCTGTTTGGTTTATTTGCACCCTCATTTTATTTTCCATCCCAATCAAGTTCAACATGTTCTGGGTTGTCTTGTAACAGCTCACACCGTTTGTCTGTTTTCTCTAAATTGTCCTAAATTGCACAACACATCCATTTCGAGCTGTTTGTCCAGAGCCCCTCCCCTTCACACTAAAAAAACCGGATTGACAAAAACATGTGCTTCTGAGGAAGGCTTTATTTCTTAACAGAAAGGAAACCTCTAAACAAAGGAACAAGGAAGTGCAGACTACACGAAAACTGTCTTCAAACAGAGCCTATAGTCATGTTTATGTTTTTATAGCACTTTATACAGATTGCTAAAAACAGCTTTACTGTAATAAACATGAGTGTTTTTAATTATAACTTAAATTTCAATTATAAAATGCCGCTAAATGAGATAATGCAGCGCTATTCATTTAAATTATTCAGCCACTTTATTTGAAAAAAGGAATGTAGCTAAATTTAGTGTATGTTTCTGAGCGGGCAAGGCAATAGCAACTTTTAATTTAATCATTTACGAAAGAAGGTTCTTCAGATTATAAAAAGGTAAGAAAGTGATGGCTCTTTAAAGAACCTTTGACTGAATGGTTCTTTGCGGAACCAAAAATGGTTCTTCTATGGCAGGGGTGCCCAAACTCGGTCCTGGAGGGCCGGTGTCCTGCAGAGTTTAGCTCCAACTTGCCTCAACACACCTGCTGGGAAGTTTCTAGTATGCCTAGTGAGAGCTTGATCATCTGGTTCAGGTGTGTTTAATTGGGGTTGGAGCTAAACTCTTCTGGACACCGGCCCTCCAGGACCGAGTTTGGACACCCCTGTTCTATGGCATCGCTGTGAAGAACCTTTTAAGCACCTTTATTTTTAAGAGTACATAGTTTAACCATGATATTTGTTCAACTGTGGTTATACAAATTATAATAATAAAAAAAAAACATGGTTACTATACTTTTACTAAAATAAAACCATGGTTAATTTTAGATTTGTTGGGGTAATATTGGCATTGTTGGGGTTCAAAGCTGCTTTAGTCCAGGGCCCCGCACTAACAGCTTCTAATCTACAATGGCCAAATGGTTTTCTTAAATGACAAAGGGCTGCTTTTAACTTTCCCTTTAAAGACAATGTTACAAATATTCAACAGATCCATTTCAACCTATTTGTTATCAATGAACTGCCATTCTACAAGCTACTGTACAAGATCTCCTCCCCTTTGTACTATCATATTAAATAAATACATTTACAGTGAATACCAAAAAAAAACAAAAAAAACCGGATTGACAGAAACATGAGCTGCTGAGGAGGCCTTTATATCTTAAGAGAACTCAACCCTTTAAACAAAGGAACAAACCAGTGCAGACTGTACACAGAAACTTTGTTCAAGCAGAATCGTAAGTAGAGTCACGTTTGCTTTCTACAGTGCTTTATACAATACCGATTGCTAAAAGCTGCTATATATATAAATAAATAAATAGATAGATTAGCATGGCATTTTGATTTCTGGAAACAGAGATCTTAATTTTGAGAGTATATATAGGACTGATGCGTTTAGGTGGAGTAAGTTTCATGGATGTGACACTTTTCTAATATGTGGATGTGTATTTCCTGACAGACTGGCTTGCTGTGAAAAGCATAACATTTGTTCCATTTCAGAGTGAGTTCAGACGAAGCAGACAGAATAATTTTTGGTCCCAATTATTTTATAAATTTTACTGGTAGTACATTGTATGAAGAATATTTTGGGTATAATATGTCACAGTTTGCTTTATTTTGCTATACTCACTTACATAAATGAACTATAGTGTCCTGCACCCACTAGTAAAAAAATATCAAAAATTATATTTGGTGTCTGAATTATTTTTGATTTGACTGTGGATTAATTCTTGTTAAAACTACAAAGTAATTCAGTCAAGAGCAGCGAGAGATTTTCTTTCATTTTATTGGATTAACATTACAGCAGCTAGTAAATTAGGCGCGGTCACTTTAAGAGACAAGGCATCCATTATGATGTGATGTGACATGTGGCAAAGTATGGTGACCCATACTCGGAATTAGTGCTCTGCATTTACCCATCCTAAGTGCGCACGCACGCACGCACGCACGCACGCACGCACGCGCACACACGCACACACGCACACACACAGAGCAGTGGGCAGCCATTTATGCTGCAGCGCCCGGGGAGCAGTCGGGGGTTCGGTGCCTTGCTCAGGAGCACCTCAGTCGTGGTATTGAAGGTGGAAGAGAAGCTGTACATTCACTCCTCCCACCTACAATCCCTGCCGGTACGAGACTCGAACCCGCAACCTTTGGGTTATGAGTCCGACTCTTTAACCATTAGGCCACGACTTCCTTGACCATTATAATGATACACATCCAATTTCTTTCTCCACTGTTTACTTTCACTTAATAACCAACATTTTTTTGAGTATACTTTCCAAGACGGGTATTTCGACATAATTTTGTATGTATTTGTCGGTACAAGAACAAGAAAAGGCAAATTTGGTGTTCAAGCGCTTTGAGACATGTCTCTTTGCATGCGCCCTGTGCGCTGAATTGGGCTCTTTCACATATTTTTCTGTTTGCATGTTTAAACTGCGATTTGTATTTGTTCGTTCAGGTGCAGGAGGATGAAGGAGAGCTCGGTTTGGTGTTGCTGTCTGTGAGACACGGCTCTCTGTGTGCGCACCGAACACAGCGCGCGAGTACTCGGTTGAGTTTTTCCGCGTCTTGTGTTTGAATGCTTTAAACTCTTTTGAATGTTTAAATTGGCAAGGCTTAAAAACACATGCAAATGATACGCTTTTGTGAGGATGCACAGCAGTGGCCCGTCAACTGTCCTGAGCGTCTTTTTAGACTGGCCTCAGCCAGAGATCCTATAATCGTCACCACCTTTCAACCCACTAGCGACGGCCCTGCCCGCGACAGGGGTGCATTTTTCAGCTCAACAAAGTTTCTACAAAATGTATGTGCACATCGCGTAAAAAAAAAAAGTTTAACAAACTGTGTCATTAGAATCGACTTCATAGATACAAGAAAATCAGTCAGACATTAGCCTATGTATAAAGCTTTCAAGACAGACCAGCTCTGAAGAGAGGTTGCATTAACTTAACAGCAAAATAAATCCATAATAGACCATGTTTGATTTTTTGTTTATATTAAAGTAAGTATAAACAAATATATAACATGATTAAATAGATTATTATATAAATAATAGATTGTTTTGAACCTGAACAAATACATTTAAAATGATGTGCTTATTTAAAACTTCAAAAGGAAATTTCAGGTCTGGTAAGAGTTTAACCACACAACACAAGATTTTTTTCTCCTAGTGACACAAAATGGACATCAAAAGAGTGATGACTGATGTACTTGAGGATCTTGTGGATAAAGAGCTCAAACAATTCATCTGGCAGCTGTGCAATGGTGTGACGGCAGGCATTGAGCCGATTCCTCGAGCAAAGCTTCAGACTTCTGATCGTGAGGATGTGGTGGACTGCATGGTAAAGCAGTATCCCGATGACGCTGGGAGGATCGCAGTCCAAGCGCTGTGCAACATGAAACAAAATGAGCTTGCAAAGCGCCTTGAATTAAAACTTCACGAAGGTATTCATTTTTTTTACTGCTTTAAGATTTCGTATTTGTGAAGCATTTTGAAGATTATATATATATATATATATATATATAGCAGTCATCTTTTTGAAAAATAAAGATAAATATACATTCAATGGAGTTAAGGTAATGTGAATACATATTTGAAATGTAAATATACTATGTGTCTTCAGTTCAGCAGCCTGTGCAGGAGGAAGTTAGAAATTCTCCAGAGTCTATGCAGCCCATCCAGTCCGACTGGCTCAGAGCATACAGCATTACTGCATGCAGCCAACAATTTAAGCACAGACTTCTTACACAAGAGAGAAATGATGCAAGTATCTCTGTTTCCTTGAACTTTTGTGAAAATACTACATTCAGGAGCCATTAGTCCTGCTTTTTGGACGGTCACTTTCCTGCAAATTATATTTTATGTTGAGCAGTGTTTCCTGACCCTTCTAAGATATTCCCAAAGTTCCTTCTTCTAAGATTCATAATTCTGATGCATTAAACTGATCAAAAGTGACAGTCAAGACATGTATAGTGGTGTAAAATATTTCTATTTCAAATAGATGCTGTTATTTTGAACTTTCTGTTAATCAAAGAATCCTGAAAAAAATCTATCACGATTTACACAAACCACAACTGTTTTCCACATTGATAATAATCAGAAATGCTTCTTGAGCAGCAAATCAGCATATTGGTTTAGGTGTGTTCAACTTGAAGCGGCGCTGCGCAGAATGATCAGTGTATGACATTAAAATTCTGCGAGAGGTACATTCACACGAGGCGTCGGCGTCAACACCTCTCGTTTACTTTGAACAGAGTGACGTCAAGCGTTGGCAAACTGAATTGTGGGTCTATCGCATCGCTTTGCCGTTGCTCGCGGCAGAAGTTGAAAACTTTTCAACTTTTCAAGCGCCAATGCAGGCGTCAGCCAATCAGATCGCCTTATGCAAATACCCTAGTGCAGACGCTAGCCAATCCCGTTTCGAATCGCTCTCGCAGTACTTTGAGGTAAAACACTGATCATTCTGCACAATGCCGCGTCAAGTCGAACACATCGATAAGGCTTGTTCGATATAAACTACAGTAGCCTGCCACCGGCTGGAGAGCAGCCGCTTGCAGTTGGGGAGGAATGAAAAGCGGAGACGTCAAGTCGGACACTTTCTGCTCCCGGTGGTGACGCTCGCGCGCTGTTTGCATACTCTTATCACAGATAAAGTGAATTAAACGTAATATTTGTCAAATACGTGACGTTTCAGAAACGTTTTCATGAGCAACAGAAACACTTTTTATATACTGCTTAATACAGCGCCATCTGTTCATGAATAAAGTTCAACATAAACATACTATTTAAATACCAATAAAGTGGGGGTATAAATGCTTTTATCAGTGTTTTTTGACTCAATATAACAGTGCAACTACACTAAAAAAGCTTTACTGTTATAAAACACGGATTTGTGAGCATTATTGGATTTGAATTGTTAGAATAAACACGCAACACACGTCGTGCTTGTCATCATAGAATCTAACCGATGAGAATAAAGTGTGTCGTCATCAAGGCTCTCGCAGCCGATTTTGAGCAACTGACCTGACCTCGGCAGCTGCTCTCGTTTTGCTCTCGCGGTACTTTGCAAAGATCGGCTGCCGTCTGTCAAAAACAATGCATTCTGGTTACATTAAAATACTTTTGTCCAACTTTGATCGGCGCTGCAGCCGCCCTACGATCACGTGTGCATTCAAAGTACCGCGAGAGCAAAACGGGACCAGCCGTCTAGGTCAGGCACTGCAAAGCCTTGATGACGACACACTTTATTCTCATTGGTTAGATTCTGATGACAAGCACGATGTGTGTTGCATGCTTATTCTAACAATTCAATTCCAATACTCACAAATCTGTGTTAATATAACAAAAAGCATTTTTAGGTAGTCGCACTGTTATATTGAGTCATGTTTCAAAAACACTGATGAAAGCACATACACCCCCACTTAATTGGTATTTAAATAGCATATGTTAATGTTTAACTTATTCATGAACAGATGGGCTGTATTAAGCAGTATAAAAAGGGTTTCTGTTGCTTTATGAAAACATTCTGAAACATCTGTGTATTTGACAAATCTGTCAAATTTGTTCGCATGAAGTCGAACAAGCCTAATGATATCTGAAGGATCATGAGACACTGAAGACTGGAGTAATTATGCTGAAAATTCAGCTTTGATCACAGCAATAAATTACATTTGAACATAGATTGACATAGATTATCTATATAATATTGGAGATATGGGTAAGCCAAACGATTTCATGGCATTTTATGTAGATTGATCATCTGGAGTTGCATGTGTTTTAATCGTGCATAATTCTGATGTTTTTTTTGTTTTTTTCATAGGTTTATATGCCAACAAGCAGTTCTTGGAGGAAAGGCTCAGCTCTGCTAATCAACAACATTAAATTTGACCGTAGTGAGCTCAACAGGCCCGGGGCAGAGCTAGATGAGGAGAACATGGAGTGGCTGCTGAGAGCTTTGGGTTACAGCGTTGAGAAACACACAAATCTCTCTGGAGATGTACGTAAAACAAAAGACTGGCTTCATGAAACCAATACTGCTTAGTACAGCTAGTAGATTTCTAGTGTGGAAATAGAAATGTGAACACATATTTAAGTCTAATTAGACTATATATTTTATACCATGTATTTCTTCTAAACATTGATAATTTATTCACAGGCAATAAATAGAGCAGTCAAGAACTTCTCTAAACGTTATGAACATCAAAACTCAGACAGCACCTTTGTGGTCATCATGTCCCATGGGGACAGATTTGACAATAAAGATGCCATTTTAGGTGTCCATTATCAGAGAAAGAACCCCAGTGATTACTTCTTTGTTGAGAACATCTTCTCCCATCTGAACTCAGTCAACTGTCCTGCTCTGATTGATAAACCAAAGGTTATTCTCATTCATGCCTGCAGAGGAGGTACGACAATAACATACTGATATTGCATTGCAATTTCTCATTTCTCTTTGTATTTCCCAGTAACTGTTTCTTAATTTATTCACCTTGCATGCTGCAATATCAAGTCATTCACAGTATGTGAAAATGTCCCACACATGAATAATTTCTCTGTCCAGGTGATGATGGAGGTGTGTATGTTAGTGACAGTGCGTTTGAATCAGACTCCTGGGTTCACAAGGAGAAAGACTTTGTCTGCTTTATGTCCAGCCTCCCTGGTGAGTCCTCAAAAACACTGATTGCTGAAATGAGATTGATTTGTTGATTACATTTGGCTGTTCATTTTGTTCCCAAGGTCAGGTAGAAGCTATTAAAACAACTCTGAAAAAGAAACTGCCATGGTGAACTGCTGAAACTCAAATGTTTGATGAAACATCATCCAAAATGGCGAATGTTTCTTCCTTAATGAGCAAAGTTTCAAAGGTTGCTTTGTACTTTATTGTATGACTTGACAATGACTGAATTATCTCCACAGAGATCAAGGCATACAGGAATCCTCACAATGGAAGTTATTTCTTCAATTACATAGTGGATGTGTTCAGTACAAGCGCTCATAAATATGACATTATGGAGTTGTTCAGGAGGGTAAATTGTTTTTCTTTATTCCAGCTAAAAGTCAAAACAATCTCTTTCATTTTATTCACCCCAAGTGCACTGCTCAGTTAAAATGAATGAGTTTGCTTCTTGTCACATTCAAATATGATCTTTTATTTTATAGATCGCCTCACGCATGGAAAATGACCCACGTTTCACACACAAGAAGAAACTATTGCCGTGTATTGAAAGGATGACCCTTGTAAAGAAATTCTACCTGTTCCCTGGACTCTAATGATGTAAAATGAGTTTAGAGGAAGAACGCTACAGGTGAATGGGGTAAAAACTATGTAGAAACATCACCATACTTCCTCAGTTGATTAATCACAGTACATTAAGAGAATTGTCTTATATTTCAAGTTTTTTAAATGTTGTTTAAACGTGCAGTTGAGGCATTACCTAACTAAATATAGACGCATTTACATACATTTTGTAATAATAAAGAACAGAAGTCTAAAACATTGAATAAAGTCAGGTTCAAAATCCAGTGCATATAATAAAAAAATATTTTGGGAAAACAACCTCTAAAGATTTAAGGGTTTAAAGGATTCTTCATAGCAATGTGTGTTACTTCAAGAGAGCAACCATACATCTGTTGATTTATTTTCTTTCTTTTATAATCATTCATTTATAATCATTTATCATTTAATCATTTTATTATTCTATTTAATCATAAGATCATTTATACAACTAGACATTTAATTGATTTATTCATTGATTAGTCATTTATATAATATTTTATAATATTTTTCCATTGTTGTTTATTCTTATTATGTGTGGTTTCAAGGGTTATTTGTCTTAATAAGTAAGAGATCAGGGAATGTCTCCATTTCAAGGTTTTTAACATCAGTGGACATTGTTGTGAAACAGTAATTTTCCATTGCTATTATTTTGTGGTATAATAACAGTTGTTGGATTTGGGCTGATCAGATGTTTCAGTCTGAGCATTGAAACAAATGCACCTCAGTCAACTTCTCGGCTGACAGACGATTGTTAATAGAGTTTGGAGCACCAGAGAAAAACTTACTGGATTTTAGATACAAGACAAACGGATATCTAACAAATTGAAATCTATACATCGATGGACATAGTTGAAGTGTCATTAAATAAAAACTTAAATGTGTATTTTGGATGTTTTCTTTCCCCTAGTCTGAAAGAAGTCATGTTATGGAAGTAAAGTAGCCCAAAATCTCAAAATTTACCAGTGTATGAAAAACAATAGTTAACATATTCATAATAAAACACATTCTAAATATACACACACAGTACAATAAATGTAATTATAAAGTATTATTATTTTTTATTTTTTTTTACTTAAACTGATCTCATTTAATGACATTTTCTTATATACTACACTATTGCCATATTACTATATTAACCATACGTTAACCTTTAAAGATAAGTTTTACCTTATTTTAAATAAGTAATTGTTTTAAAAAGTAGCCTGCTTATATAATTAAAAAAAGTAAATTTTGCACAAAATAAATTTGATATAAAATTGCTATGAAAATGTAGCCATGTGCAGTAATATTGAGAATTGAGAATGTGACGCATCATGATATTGAGTTGATAAGGATAATCGTAACTGAATTGAAACCAGTGAAGGTTCACACCCCTATTTTTAAGATGGCAGTACTGACAGAGATTCTATCAACAAAAAGCATAGAAACTGCAATTTTGGTTAAAATGTAAAGCTGTAAAAATGTATTTGCACAGCAGAAGAATTAATTAGGAAGAAATGTAGATTAAGAATCGTTTTAGAATCGGATCGTGACTCCCAGAATCGGAATCGAATCGGATCGTGAAGTGCCTAAATATTCCCACCCATAGTCTTAAAGGGGTCATATGATGCTGCTAAAAAGAACATTATTGTCAACAATACTACAGCTAGAATAAAAGTTACGCCTTCTTTCTTTGCGTGAACATTTGGGCGGCGTTATGCAAATCTTCCCACATAGTGAGGTAGATATGTGGGGGCGTGTTAGAACGAGCCGTTTTAGGTAGGTGTGGCTAACTCTGTACTTTTATAAAGAATATCTCTTTGGATTTGAGACTTTAGTCTTCGTAACTTTACAGATCTTCTTTATGCACCAATAGCTTGTAACACTCCAAAGAGAATGGAAAAATTGAAATCGCATCATATGACCCCTTTAAGCTAAGAGTAAGGGCGGGGTTGACCTTGTTGCTATGGATGATGTCAGCATACTTACTAACTATGCACACAGTGATTGGCTGATAGTCTCTTTCAGAGATTTATTCATGGAAATATTGTAGAGCACTATATTATGTTCAAATAATATTCACACATGGATATATTCAATATCCATATTCAAATAAAGGTTTCAAAATAAAAATGTTGCCACATTCAAATTTTAAAATGCAGGCTAAGTGTCACTATTTAAACAAATACCATATATGTTCAGCTAATTGTCAGCCTCTTATATGTGTGCTCCTCGTAAACAATTAGCGGATATGCATATAAACAGCTTTTTAACCCTCAAGCATCCTTAGCAGCCCTTAATTTGTCCTTCGTCTCAGGTGTGATCCCTTTTCTTTTTTTATAAATATCATATCACTGTCTTCGATAAAATAAAAACGATCAATTTATGCAATTTTTTGTTATTTTTAGTGTTTTTTTTTTTATTTATTTACCTCTAAAAGTACCATATTTTATGCAACATATGCTTATTTTTATGTTATATTTAATATTTCTTATACTTCAGTAAAAAACAAAAAAGTGTGTGTGTGTGTGTGCATGCGCAGTGGCTGAGTGGCACAAAAAAGCTTCAGTTCTTTGGTTTTGTATGTGCAAGTGACTGTTTTTATTCGAAAAAAAAATACAAATAAAACTCACTGTGTTATAGGCTCATTCAATGCTTTGCATATGGGTTTGTGTCTGTGTCTGTGTGTGTTTGTGTGTGTGTATGTGAGTGTGAGGTGTTTGCCACATTTTTGCCCATACACTTTACAAACATAAACTCCACCAGCGATGAACAGTGTTTTGTCACTACCACGTCATTGTTACACCACTCTTTGTTGACGTACACACACAAGCCACCCCCGCGAGTCTTACCAGACAGTGCTGTATCTCTGTACGCTCGGTTGCAGGTTAACCCGTGCAGCTGAATAGCGGAGTCCAGGATGTTGTCGTTTAGCCATGTTTCAGTGAAAACAAACACACAACAATCCCATCTCATGCTGTGTAGACTGACAGAGTTGAATTAAGTCCAGTTTATTTTCCAGAGAGCGAACGTTTGAGAGCATGAGCCCTTAGCCTAGCTCATGTGCCTCCACGCTTGCTGCGCTTCTCTCCCCTCTCACACCGCCGGCATCGCCGTTTTGTGCGGGTAGCATCAGTAGGCGAGGCTACGGTCTCGGGGTTCAGCTTCAGCAGCAGACAGAGACCTCATAGCTTCTCAGTAGTCACCGGTGAAAGCTTATGTTTGTACACACTGCCGATTTCCAGAAGGCTCTGTCGATCATAGATGTGTTTCTGAGTGATTATCTAATGATTTTGCGATAAGGCAAGTCGTGGCCTAATGGTTAAAGAGTTGGACTCGTAACCCAAAGGTTGCGGTTTCGAGTCTCGTACCAGCAAGGATTGTAGGTGGGTGGAGTGAATGTACAGTGCTCTCTTCCACCTTCAATACCTCAGTCGTGGTAGCAAGGCACCGAACCCCCAACTGCTCCCTGGGCGCCGCAGCATAAATGGCTGCCCACTGCTCCGGGTGTGTGTTCACGGTGTGTGTGTGCACTTAGGATGGGATAAATGCAGATCACTAATTCCTAGTATGGGTAACCATACTTGGCCACATGTCACGTCACTTAATAAGGGGAGACTGTTCGGAAACGAGACTAACAGACATAAAAACAGTTTTTCATAAAAACGCTGCTGCGTCCGACCGCGCAGCCATCTTGGATACGCCATCTTACTGATGATATTTAAGTTTGCAAACTTAAAAAAAATAGAGGCAATCAGTTGCATCAAATTTTCTGAGTTAGTAGCAGTGTTGTATCCAAGTCCAGTGTCGAGTCCTAGTTTTTAATCAATTAAGTTTAAGTGTGAGACGTTTATTAATGTCTTTTCATATCAATTTTATGTTGTTACTTTATTTTATTTTATTTTATACTACACATGACATGGATTCGTCTGTACTCTGAAAAATTTCTGCATCCAAAATATCCAAGTCTGAGTTCACCTGAGTCCACCCGAGTCTGTCCAAGTCCAAGTTCATTCACAATTGCAGTCCGAGTCCGAGTCCCAAGTCCAAGTACTACAACTCTGGTTAGTAGAACTTATCCGGGTTTACAGTGCAGTGGCTACTGATCCATCCTTGAGTTTCAACTTTTTAGCAAAACCTGAAACCTGAAACCTCAGAAAGCAGTCTGCTGTAAAATGATTTGAGCAAACATAAATGCATTTAGGTAGATTGGGGGGCACATTCCCTTCAAAAACAAACGTAAACCACTGCGTATTCAGCGGCTCAGATGTCGGGAGTAAATGACGACTGCTGTGTTCATTATTACATCCAACAATAGAACACCTCAATCGCTTAGGAATCGCTTTCTTGTCTACATCTTCTCCGGTGTCGAAACAATGGCGGTCTGTGTACATCTCACTCAGTGCGGGTCTATGCTAAAACAGCAGTGTCCGTCAACAGTCGTGGGAGGGGCCTGTGCAAATTGACATCACTTTCTCCAGAATCTGTGAATGGCTTGTTCTGGGACAGTGCTTATGATTTATGGGGATTTAAAAAAAAAAGCACTGGGTGGATTTTTATCATTATAGTGTAGGTGTGTACACACACTGCCAACACACATTTCAGTTCAAATAACTTGTTAAAGTGAATTTTGCATCCGATGTCCCCTTTAATGTCTTTTGTTTCAGTTGATTTCATCTAAGTCTGTGGCTGAAGTCAGTTGTAGTTCTTGTGTTTCTCTTTTCTTCAGTGATTCTGCTTGTTAACAGCAGCTGTTCATCACTAATGCTCAATCAGCACTTAATTAATCACATAATTATCTCATTAACTTTAACACTGCTTCAGTGTTACTTTAACACTCTTGTAGAGTGGGACCATATATGCTCCGAGCAGTTTTAATTTATCTAATGCCGAGTTCACACTGCACGATTTTCAAACTCGTCGGATCGCCGTTGTTTTCACACTGCATGACTATCGGGGGGTGCATTCAGTTGCTGCTGTGTTCACATTGTACGATGGATCGGCGACAGGGGGTTTCACACTGCATGACTTCACAATAGGAAGAATCGCCGACAGCTCTGTCTGGTCCGCAAACTACGTTTCACAACAAAACACACGCGAGAAGTGATAAGGAAATAACGCGAGAACCCGCGTGCGTCAGACCGGAGTTCTC